AAGAGTTGATCACTCTGAGAAGTTTAAACGGTTTTAGCATTTTCAGTGGAAGCTCTGCCCGCAAGTCGTATTAAGAAACATCAGTTTCTTTTAGTATTTGTTGAAATGTCTGTTTTCGTGTTCGTATTTTGATAGCAAAGATATTCCGTTGAGGAGGATGGCGTCTTGGTGGCGATTGAATTATGTAAAACGTAATGTCAGTGGAGCGTTTGATACAAACGTTTTGGATTGGTGGAGTGACATTACGAAAGAAATTATGATTGTCAGGCATTTATATATTAACTCGGTTTAAATATTTTTTCGCGTGTTATTGAAGAAATTCTGTAATTCACCTTCTAATGCTTTGTGTAGTTTGTTTTATTAAGCATAACATATTACAATAAAGCAACCGACTTTCGACAAAATACCGAGCCATGCGCAATCTCATTCAGATTTGTTACGTGCACATCTATCGATTGACCGCAGCCGTGCGCGCAGTTAGCGCTTGCGTTGCTCCCGGGGGGCGCTAACATATATGGGCTATATAGGTATGTGCCGCTGTGAAGGGTATGATTTTCAAGCAGTTTACTCTAGGATAGGNGGGACCCAGCGGCACATCCTCACCCAGAAATTGCCAGAGTACCCCTCCGGGCTTTGCTCTGGTAACAAAATTATGTTCTTCGCTCGTTAAACGGTTGTCCCTGCAATGATTCTAAACTTTTCCCGGTACACACTAGTTGGGAGAATTTGTTTGTTCTTCTCTGGAAACGTCCTCTTTGTTCATCGTAATCATTTCCTTGATTCTCGTTCATATGCTTGATTTTGTATTCATAATGTAAGGAGAAGCTACATTTGATCGTTCAAATAGACCGCAAGACTGCTACTGATTTATTGTCTCCGAGACACTTCATTTTCGCATTGTCTTAAAATCCACACGTCATATGATAATTGAAGTTTGACAGCATGCAAATATTACAGGTTTTGAGCTTCATTGAGCTGCTTCGTCATATCATTTCAATTAACTAAATGTGTGGTGGTTCAAAACTACGAAGTCACAGCGCGGCAATTGAGGAATTTAAATTTTTGTTAAAAAATCTACCAAGGAACAGCGAAGAAAATTGAGGTAAATACAAGTATTTGTAAGAAAGCGCATTCTGCGACTCCGAGTCGCATCATATACATTGCAAGCTATTAGGTTTTGTAAGACTGATTTGTATTCAATCTGTGAACTAAAACGAAGTTGAAAATATTCGATTGAAGATGAACTATTGAGGGGAGATGTATAAAGTTAAACAAGTAAGTAAGTGCCACTCGATAACCTTAGTCGAGAAGTCTAAATCAATTCAATTCCTATCAAAATGTAAACTATTCCTCACGGGTGAATTGAGAAAATTTCCTTGTCTCGCGTGACAAGGTTTGTTCCAACTTACCTTTTATCAAGGAAGCGCGCTAAAAGGTTTCTAACCAGCTAAGATTTTGTTTTTGTTTTTAGCCTTTAGCCTACGTGACAGAGAATAATTTGAAAACAACCCTATACTAACACTAAGGTAATATTATAATTTCTTCTTGCCTCCGTCTCTGAAAGGTTGATACAACTCCTGTAATGCCCTCTTTCTTGGCACGGTTCGTGAGACAGCAGAATCCAAAGATTGGTCCATTAACGCAGGCAATCGCTCCTTGTGATCAAACATTAATGGCAGCCATTTAAAAAGGAATTTGTAATCTGTCAGCGCATTTTTTGCCCCAAATTTCCAAAGAATATTGAATTCTTTCAGAGTCGTAGGAAGATAAATTTATTTCATCTTCCTTTTCGTTTCTCTAGTTATGGACCTTTTTAGTTTCAATTTGTTTTTGTTTTTTTAATTTTGTCCATTGTTATTCTGACACAAATCCACACGCGTGCGTGCTTCCTGATTCGAAGTTATGACCAACATCATATGCAATGCGGATTTTACAAATTTAATAAATTGTTAACTCCTTTCTCTAAAATTCCGTTAAGTGTTTTGACATTATTAACGGTGAACCTGCACAGCCTGCTTTGCTTTCACGAGTAAGTATTTCAAAACGAACCGCTGCTTAGTTAAGAGTGTTTCTCAGATGGCAAAGTTTCTGTCATGACGTAACTCGCTTGATATTTTCCATCCTACATAATAGGATGAGTGAGTACTGAACGTGACCTGACTCAGATATGTTGATATTCACACCAATGAAGTCAGAATACTTCATCATCTTTTTTCTCGTAACTGCTTCATTCGTCGATCGCGATGTTATGTAATCAAGGTGGTATTCAAATAAAAAAAAAATTATCAAGCACAATATACCAGTTGTGCACTCGGCTTGTTTGATGTTAGGACACAACATTGGCATAAAAGCAGGGATAACGCGTTATTCTGTAGGTATTTCTCGGCAAAGGTAAATTAAAGGTAACCTTTGACTAATCACCGCTTGTCGGCTCATTTGAAATTTGCGTAAGAAAGAAAAATCTAGCGCAGTGATGATGCGGAGTGATTAAATATATTTTGCTTCCTATTCCACACTCTTTTGACACCTTGAAATGCAAGACAAAAAATTTCTTCAACCATCAGTTTTCTGCTTTGCAAATTCACCAAGGAAAATAATGTTGTACTGATTTGGCTTAAACTTTGCCTTTTGTTATTGCTGTTGTATTTTACGGTTTGTTTTGTTTGTGTGCGCGAACGTGACGTGATCTTGCGTTCGTTACGAGATGCACGATCAACATCAGAACAGGTGTAAGTATTCAACTGTTTTAAAATTCTAATAATTTTGCCGCCCCCGGAAGAGACGTGCATTAAACAGATGACGTGCAACAAAAGCATTCTGAAATCTGGGAGAATGGACACCACCTACCGTAGACCGAGATCACTGTCAGCTCTCATTACTTATTATCATACATTTCTTATAAAGTTAGATAGGCGAATTTTCTTTGAAGAGTCTGTCTGCCTTGATATTGTTAATAGAAAATTAAATGTTAGTCGCTTCATGAATGAACAGTCTATTTAGTACAGGATTCGGTGTTGTTTTTGCTGGTTTACCGTTTAAAGATTATAATGAACAGAACGTTTAATGATGTGACTAAAATAGCTGAGTAATAATCGTGGAAACAAAAGCTTATTGAACTCAGTGGAGCCCAAGGGAATACTTTTAATGATTATTATGTTGTTTGAGTCTTTGCTAAAGCGGGTAAAAGGACAAGTGTTGACCTTTGTTGAAGCGTGTTGAAGGACAAGAGTTAATTACGTCAAAATAAAGTGCTCAGGGCTTCAAAGAGACAAGCTTGCCGCAGTCTCACAGATCCGTAAAAGTATTGTTTTCGAGCAAGGCGGAAACTGATTAAATATACTTTCGATGCGGAGTATAAAAGAAAGCTTTAGGGAAGACGTGCCATACCGAGCCATCAAATCACTGGAGCTCTTTTCTCTGGGGGTTAACCAAACCATCAACTTCTCTTTACGGCTTCGAAGCGAGAGATCAGAGACTTTCAGAAAATTAAGGGTATGTTAGTAATCTAAAGGTAAAATAATCGATCTTGTTTGTGAAAGTTTTCAATGCTCATAGTTTTGTTCTGACTTCCTCATGGTCTCGGTCAGGGTGCATTGTGTGAATGTTACACGGTTGTTTTGGTCAAATCGTCTAAACGAGTTTGGTTTTAAACTTAAAATACTCTTTACATAGTTGAGATAAATGCTAAGTTACCTTCGACTATTTTGTTGGAAACTGGCGCATCAAATTGTAGACGCGGTTTGAGAATGACAGTTTTGGCTGAAGCTTTGAGTTGTCTCACAAATGCTGACTGCAAGAGGTTTATTTCCTTTATTACCATGATCACGGCATTCTCGCGAGCTGAGCAAATTGAGGGAAAGTATAGAAACCGACTTGGCGAGCGAGAGCGCAAGGCCTTTTTTCTCTTCTAGCGAAAAGGACATGAGGATGAAAGAAACAAGAAACTGACTCGAATATGGGTCAGTGTTTGGTCTGCTTCGTCGGCTTTCGCTCAGAATGGGAACATAATTCCCAGAAACACTTGTTTCACTGCAACTGTAAACGAAAAAAGTTCGAGCGACGAGAGCGAGCGCTAGCAATCATATGAAAACCAAGCTGTAGAAGACGACCAGTGTCTATCGAGCGTGGGTGGAAAGTTTTGTATTTCCGACTCTATATTCCCTTTCGAACAACGGCATTAAACTTTGGTGTTTGAACAATTCGACGGCATCACTGCGTAGGCTGAAATCCACCTCCTTTTTCACTGTCATTTTCTTAAATAAACTGATCCACTTAATTTAATGTTTTCTATAAAGAAACCAAACCAATACTTTCAGTTTTTTTAACTACCGAACCTCTCGGGCAATTGTGTCACGCGCGCATTTGGCGCGACTTTTGTGAGCGGGAGCGGAAGAGGTGACAGAGAAACAAATTACGAATGGAACACAAAGAAATCAATCTAGTTGAATACAAAGCTTCTTTGAGATCGGCTCTATTTAAATTGGACACATTTCCTTGAATAATGGTACGTGTTATGGATACAACTTTTACATAGTTGTATTATTTGCGCTTCTTTCAATATCTGCCACGTACGCTTGCCTTCGACAAAAAGATTACTTTAATTACATGTAATAAGCTTTGTTTCAGCCGAGTTATGAGAAGATTGTTCGATTGTATCTACAGAAAAGCTTCGTGGTTTCACAGCATGATGTTTTCCTTGTTTCCACTGAACAATCTAAAATTTTAGAATTTTTTATTCTTCATTGTTGGACTCGATCCTTTCCCTTGCTGTATTATGATACAAATGTAAAATCAATCTGGGCTATTAAGACAACAATAACTTTTCCCATGACTCTCAACACAAATCTAGTCCCCAGCTACGGTTCAGAGTTAATTTGTTTTTAAAATGAACTTTCATTCTTTCTTACAGTCAAAATCTAGCAAAGGAAAAAGAGGGGCGTCCACCATGGTCAAAGTGAAGAGTTATGAAGATAATTCTATTGAGACTGAAGGTAAAACACGAACCATATATCTTTTATTTTTCTTAGTAGCTCAGTACATGACAGACACAAAAGTAGCTTGCGCGCAGGCTAACACAGAAAGAGTCCTTAGAAAATGAAAAACTAAAACCAAACTTTTCACATTATTAACGTCAATTAGCACTAGTAAGCAATTAAAAAACTTTGGCAAGCGTGGAATAAGCGCAACGGGGAGAAGACCGAGAAATTCACAACTAGTGACTTGCGCGAGAAACCAACATGTAACTGAAGACAAACGCGGGAAAATTGCGAAAACTAATTTATGTTTATTCTGATTGGCTGAGCTGAAAAATTAATGAATAAATCGTTACTTCATTTTTCATCAATGGTGCAGCAATCGACGTTAACAGTCAAATCTTCAACAAACCTCCCAGAAATAACGTTATCGTCAAGGACCAATGAAGCTGGCCATGTTGTGGAATCGCTTCACAAAAAATGTGAAATCCATCAAGGTAGTCGGTCTCCCGAGCAAGAGTCGTCGGTATCGTTCGGATGATTCTCGGGTATCTTCGTTATTTATTTAGGTCAACGATTGTTGGCAGTGTTGCTAGAATTCATTAGAACCAACAGGACAGAAGAGTTTTCATCATGGCTGTAAACTAAATCTAATTCGCATAACTTTGGAGAAATTATTTCTTAGTTTCGTCCTTATGTTTGTTAAGGAAGTAAATGCTTGAGATAAATCCAGAAATGCAATTTTTATTCCTATACTTGCTTTGATATCACAGACTCGCGCTTTTATAAAACTTATAACAATATTCACTGATTTTAACTTAGTCTTCATTTACATGACTAAAAAGTTATATTATGTCCAGCACAAAAGAGTCAGGATAGTAACAAAACAGAAATTAATTAACGGACCGTTTTGGTTCTTTGTTACATCTTTGTAGTGGTACGAGATTGCCTACCCCCAGTAGAGTAATTAATCCCGGCTGTTCGTCACAAAACTCTGAAAATATTCGTGTCGAGAACTTTAGTCGGAACGGATAACGGCTTCGTAAACCATCTCAAATACAAAATCTTACAATCTGCAGCGTTTGAAACTATCTTATATCGAAAATGGCGAAAACATACAAAATTGACCCAATTTTGAGGGAAAAGTTCAATCGTATTTCAAGCATTTCGCGGATATGACATTAACATGGTTTATAATGATGCTATTTGTTCAAAGGATTATACTTCGAGATCTGAGTTGGTAAGTTAAGACTGTAGAATAACTTTGCCTTAAAATATAAATAATAAAAACTAAGTCTTGAGGTATAGGTTTATGATGGGAAGTTTGTTGGATGAAACCAGTTGAATTTACTGAATGTTCACTTCGCATCGGAACAGAATAGTTATTTAGTGTTAATTTGAGGGCAATATCGTACAAAGCTACAACATGAATTAGTCGAGAAGACTTGCCGCGAGTATAAATCTCTTGACTCAAACTGTCTGTATATTAAATTAACTAATTTCTACTCTATGAGTGAGTAGTTGTAAAACGCCATATGATTTCAACTGTAATTTATCGGTAATTTTCATGTAGTGCTCGAAAGGTTGTGTGTACCTTTCTGACATAGTTAAGATCGAAAAGTAAATTCTCAATAATTTTAATGGATGAGATCAAACTTTATGACTTTGTACTGATATGGTAAGATACACATAACACTCGCCCAGCTTTGTTAATGTGTAATGAATACACTAGAGGAGTTATGAGGTGACTGCAGTATTCGCAGGCCGAGTTATTGATTTTACAAATCGACAGGCTATATAGCAGGAACTCACTGACAAGTTACTGAGAATTTCGCAAGGGTATTGCTGTGCAGTTCGTGACAGTCTGACAAGTTTGACTGGTTGTAAATGTACAAAACAATTGCCTGAAATGCTTTCTGTGTAGTAATTTCACGCTTAAGACAATAGAGGCTTTCGTTCCGTACAACAACTTCAGTGAAATTAGTGATTCTATGTGCATAACAGCTGTTGAAGCAGAAGTGTCAAATTAACATAAATTATCAACATTTCTATGCACAAAATTGTGACCCATTTTTAATTTGAAAACAAGGCCTAAAAAGACTCGTGAAAGGTCGAATAACATTTAATTTTCCCTTTCTGTACAAGACGTTCCCTTGTTCGGCATTTTATCGTAGGTAATCTAAATATTACAATCTCGTAGAACAGTTATCTGCGAACAATTCTTACAGGTTGCCATGACAATGTCTCAACTTGTACTCGGTAACAGTTTTTAATTGATTTTCTTTGTGCAGCTGACAAACCCAAGCATTCTTAAACTTCTGTTGACGGTGACTTAATTCAGTTGCAGTTTTCTTAAGTACTGATCGTGTACAAAAAAGGGGAGCGAAAAGTCACTTGAAACAAATCTGATCGGTCGACACAGGTCGATGAAAGTAGGTTTAGTAATTTTCACGAACCGATTAAAAGAACTAATTCTCAACAATATCTACACGACGAAGGAAAAAGAACTTCGAGGTAGAAAGAAAGACACAAAGACAGAACGAGTTAAAAACCGTTTTCTTTTGAACTCTGAATGTCAACATTTTCACTGGTCAATGCACAGTAATCTGTTAACTCTACATCTTTACAGCTCTAGTGTGAGATCTTGCTCGAAAAAAGAAGAGTATTGTTTTGTTGTCGATCAGTTTTCTTAATGGTCGTAATCTGTACACGCTTGTCTATTTATAGTGGTTATAAAGCAACATTGTTGACAATAGGTCCTTTACATAGCCTCTGGCTTTGTTGTAACGCGCCTGTTGTTCTGTTTAACCCAATCTTTTTCGTTTACACAAATCGCCATCAACCAATACCAAAACAATACGTTGATTTGTCGAAGAGGACAAACATTTCAACTTCTAGTCCGTTCCTGATTTCCTATGCATGGTCAATTCAAAGTCTTGTTCGCGCTTCAGAATGTGGCCTCTTATGTTTGCAAAGGTGCAACTAGCGCTTTTGGAAAAGAAGAAACGAGACAAAAATGAATTTTTTCACGCTCAGGCAGATCTCATCGATGAGGAAATCAACTCAGATTCTGGTGAGAATCAATAGCTTTTGTAGGTTGTTAGTGGATAATTTTGCGGTCCGTCACTCTCTTTGGAAGCCAATTAAACACTGGGCACGAATGCGTTAATGTCGAAACACCAAATTCCAACCAAGAACAGAGAAACAATGTCAGAACTTTAAAACTGAATGAGCGAAAACATTGATCAAAAATCTTTCATTTATGATTGACAAGAAGGCTCGCAGGAGACTGTAACTTTGCATAGTTTGGTTACCACATGCGGCTCGAAAACAAAGACAATTTTTTTTAATTAAGAAGACGACTTTGTTGTATACGGCAATATTTCTGTGGATAGTGCTTCTTAACAGCTCAATCCGTGCGATACATTTTTATCTCGTTGTCTACGAGTTTTTAACTCTGAAATTCGTAACAAAGTTATAGATGTGTTACAAATAAATTATCACTGAAATTAACGGATTAGCAGGTAACATGTTTATTATTTGACCGTGCTACAAAACGTAGTATTTGAACACCATTAGCAAGGAGCTTTATTTTATCGGTGGAAACTGTCATATGATTTTAAGTAGTTTTATATCAATTCACACAAAATGAAACAAGCACAAAATTGAAACTGCGGACCAAATTATTGCGCCTTTGACTATTTGGCAAGGTGCAATGTAAATCGTATTGCTTTCCAGTTGTATTCAAATACAGAATTATTGTGATCTTCGACAGAATCCATTTGAAAAGTTCATGAAATGAAATTGAGTTATATAGTGAGACCGGCCCAAACTTTAGAAAATGCCTTTCACAGCATAGCACTTTTCACCGAATGGTCACTGACAAAAGTTTCAACCGCTGACGTAGTGGCCATGTTCTTTCGACACTATAATAATTAAATGTCCTGATGTCTTATTATTATTGTTTTTTATGGACGAAGTTGCACAGCGCCAAGAGTCTGCCACAAAAATGTAATGTTCTCATTATTTAGCAGCTTACATTTGGTCGCACACGCACCAAAATTAGAGCGACTAATGGACAATGATTTAGTACATTTTTTTGAACCATGGCATAAATAAGTAATCAGAGATTATTTTTTCTTGCAGTCCTCTAATATTTTTACGTTGTATTTGTTTAGCAGAAAAATGTGAACTAAAACAAAGTTTAAGTCATTTTTTCTGTAAATATAACTTTTTCTGGCATAATGCCTAATGGACGGATTCTGACGCAAATTATTTTAAAATGCCTTAGAAATCGAGCGCCCACTCCATATGAAAACAATTAAATTTAATCAAAGCAATAAGATTAACTGTGTTATTCACCTTGATCTAAAGAGTAAAGAAACGCAAATTATGAAATTATGTTGCCTCCATAGTAAACAGCCATATGCAGCACAGACCATAAACAAAGTTTCTACAAATATATGTATTTATCGACTTCTCAAGTTTATTTGATGTTGCCCACACATTATGGTAATGTGTTGACAACCGAAGTGGTAAAAACTCATTAATAATTTCTCGTATCTCCCGTTGCTATCTCTTATCTCCCGGCAATTTTAATCACGTGATTCAGCAGGTGGCAATTTCACTTATCAAAACACCTCTTGCAATTCATCATTGCATTGGTGTGCACGTAATACCGAATCTTCACTTGAGGATTGGCTAACTTTACTCAAGAGTTGCCCTTAAGAGACTTGTTCACTTCTGGATTGCCTCATGAAGCTTCTTCACAGCGGTCTTTTAAATGTCGTATTACTCAATTTGAGTAGAAAATATGGATTGCAACAAGCTGCGTGTTCCGAGTAGGTGACATCTTCCGTATAATACGTTTGCTAGTCTTCCTGTGTTATAAACTGTACAGTTGTATAAATATCTTTCATGGAGCTTGCGGAATCTCCCGGATCGATACGTTTTTGTTGTTATCAGTTAGTTTGTGTTTTGTTTTGCAGTTCAGTCCGCCACAAGGTGAATTACCTGGTCTTCTCATAACCGCAAAAATACTGATTTAAACGACATGCAAAAGCACTATTTCTCTTCCTTATACAATAGCAGAGTCAATTGGATTATTTTAGTTATTTGCAGTTCCTTCTTCAGTCCAAGGAAATATTTCTTATCCAAGCTTTATTGTGGATTTCGTAGCTGATTTTTAATCATTCAATTTATAAATGTTTCAGTTACATTAAAAGCTTGGTAAACGCGGAACTGAACGGCCATGTCTTAAGAACGTAAAAAGTCCTAGAATTTTCCATTCTTCTTGCCACACACCACTGGTGGCAGTGCCTTATTATTTGTGACGATTCGGCCATATTATATTCACTTTGAAGTCTGCATGCTCGTTGAAAATTAAAGTTGCCGAATGAAAATTTTTTGGAACCAATGAAATATTGCACTACTACTAAAGAAACATCGTTTTAAACTAACAAAGTTTGAAACCGAGCAAATAATGAGTAAATATTTCACTTTATCTGAAGAAGTCCCGGTGATCCGGTCGGCTTTTTCTAAAGTAAACGACTTGACAACCTAACCAAATTGCCATAATCAAAAATATTGCTCAGTGTTTTGCATGCGTTAAAATTCTAAATTAAATAATCAGCGTCAGGTGAAAAGACAAAGAGATCATTATTTGTAATCAGCTAATATTCATATCTTCCTTGATAATTCAGAAATGCACGTAAATTTATACGAGTTTTTTGATCTCAGGTGCAGAAGATAATTCTACATTGTCCAGCTTTGCGGGGACTGAAGGGGTTGCCTCCTAGTGAGTCCTAAAACATATTCCCGTGGAAACTGTTAAATTCTGGATTCTAAAACGACCGATTTTCTGACATGAAAAAGATGCCGATCAAGACAAGTGTGACATTAGGACATCCCACAATATCTGGGCTAAAATAACAAAAATCTGGCTGTTTTTTCCGTAAACATGTGGAAACTGAACAGCCCTACGTATTTCAGTCATAGAAGTAAAGGTTATTTCTAGGCCATCATTTACAGATTATATGTTGCGTTGGGCGCCCTTCACGGCATTATCATTATCGTAGAATTAATCATCTTTGAGTTCTGAATAAGTAACCTGTTGATAATTGGGAGCCTGCAATGTGTGTAGTATATGTAATAACTTCCTCTTGGTGAATACTTCCCATTTATAGAAGGGAAGTTCTCTGCAAGAGAACCTCGTATTCCTAATTAGCAATACTTATGCAAGTCTGATAATTAACCACCAAGAGTGGAATAATTGATTTATTAAAAACGCCCCTAAAACATAAAAAAACTAGACTAAAATAAATAAATAAAAAAATAAAAAAATAAAATAAACTAGACTAAAATAAAAACGCCTCGAAAACGTTATGCGCGCTCTCACCATATTTATAGAGCATGGTAAAATGGCTCATAACCATGATGGGTAAGCCAATGAAAACTCTTGAATTGCAGTTTTAATAATGGTTGATATTTCGTGGGAAAACTGATTATTTCCATGCACCTCAGAGCGATTGACGATGGTTCCACTCTTATAAATGATATCATTTTTAGACGAAACAGCCCGAAATATTTTATGATTAATGTCTGTTTCGGCTCAACCTTAGTGATTATTACCTAATAAAACAAATACGACGGCTAGAAGGAACTATTCCGTGTTGCGTTCTTTGTGCCTTAATTAGAAGTATCAATAATCAAATGATTAACAACTTCTTTATCGTTTGTTTTTCAGAAATCCAGTCACAAACAGCGCCACAAGGTGGAAAGCACATGGCGTTGGCCTCAGTCAATTCAGAGATGGATCCTAAACGCGCTGCAGCAATGTTAGAACGACGCCGAGTTTCTGCCTCAGTCCACGAAATACAGGATTTATACAGCGCCCTTCAAGAACTTGTCCCAGGAGGTGCGACATCTTCACTCTCCCAGCGGGTGAATTCCACAGACAATAAACCCACTGACGTATCTTCTAACCCCAATTCTCCAAACCTGCGACGAAAAGTCCTCAACAATCGTCCGAGAGATGTGGCGCGTTCACCAACCAGCGAAGACGAGTCAACCCGGGTGAGAAGGTTGCTTCCGGTAACTCCTGATTCGCCATCAAACCCCCGCAAGTTTAACCCAAAAGTCATCCAAGCTCTTGACGTGAATGCCAATCAAAGCCTCGTAAAAGGCAAACGCAATCCTAATATGGGACGGCGAGGTTCCAGTGGCGAGGTACTGTTGAGTATGCAAAGTGCTCAATCAGGAAAACCGTCTCCTAATATGGGAAGGCGGGGATCCAGTGGAGCGGTTCTTCTTGCCGTGCGAGCCAATCAGCACAAAGCACCCAAAAGTCCCCTTGCACTGACGAGAAGTGCTTCGCATCATAACATCGCTGGAGACTATGAAACTGATTCAGCTAGTCCAGTTTTACCAAGTCCTGTCAAACTAGACAGACTTATTAGTCCTGAGGTGCTTGCAAGGCGAGGATCTGAAGGAGTCCTTTTGACGCCAAAAATGGACAAACACCATAAAAAGCTAAGTCCTCTTCTGATGAAGAGAAGGGGATCAAGCGGCGATATTCTTACGTCAGAAAGCAGTAAACCAACTTCAGTCTCCTTACCCCGCAGTGCTGCGTCGTCACCAAGAAAAACTGCCACGTTGGACAGTGGAATTGACTCCTCACCACGACGAGGCTCACTGATAAATGCACTGACTAAATTTTCGCACACTTTCAAAAAGAAAACCCCGCCGTCGAGCCCAGAACGCAAAGAAATAGCATCGATCAAAGGAGACTTTCACGGGGAAAACCAGACAGTGGTTGATGGACAAGTGCAGAATCAGATGGATATGCTGTTAAATTCTCTAAACGATCTCCAGGGTACGTCTCAAGAAACAAACCACGGAAATGCAAATGAATCAGAAATCTTGAAGAAACTCGATCAGCGTCGCGGAAGCCTGGGGACGGAAATGCAGGAACTGCTTGGAGCGTTGCAAGAGCTCTCCGCCATGACAACAAGTTCTGATTCAGATTCCCTCGGTGATAACGAATCGCAGTCGAGACGTGGGTCTGAGTTACAAGATCGAGTGCATGTTCAGCGTGAATCATTAGAACAACTGGAGGCGTACTTTACTGAAAAGTTACGAGATGCCACAATAGCCAGCACCTCGAAAACGCCTTCAGAGCGATCCTCTGAAAGTGATGCACCTCTGTCGGACAAAGAAGATGGCGAATTAAGCCAACCACCTTCAGAGTTGTCTAGCAAAAAGAGTTCCTTGGAAACAGCAATGGTCGACGAAGGGATCGATGTTGTGGATTATCCTACCGAAGTTCTGCCGACGGATGTCGAAGTGAAACGAACACAGTTGAAGGAGGATCGTGAAGAGTTTGCCAACCAAGTCAACAAAAAACTGCAAGATTGGCTCGAGAAGGCAATGGCGCTATCAGAAAGAGAAAAAAACTCTGCAACTTTTGATAGTGATGAAGCAAAGTATGATTACCTTGATTCTGACGAAAGTGACTATAACAAAGAGAAAGAACCAAAACGTATGAAAAGAAATCTCTTTTCTAAGTTGTCACTTCTACGCCGTGGCGATAGGTCGCGTCCGAAATACAAGCACCGAAGAACAAAGTCCATGCATGACGTCACCTTCTCCCTTGAGAACGAGCTTTCCTTTCAAGACAAAGAAATTCAAAATCCGACGACGACGAATGCGCAGAATGAAGACAAATTAAGGCGTCCAAGCGTGACGCGCTCGAGATCCATGTATAATGTAACGCTTCCAAGAAGCAAAAATCACAGCAAACGCCAGGTGAGGGAGGCAGAAGATGTACCTCAAGCTTCGCACACTGTACAAACACAGTCAGCCGCCACTTTGCCTGATGACAAAAGAATTCAAGCTTCACATGTACTAACAACCTCTAGTAAAGACTACTGTCATGTGACCGAGAAATCTTCACCGACGTTGCTGAACCCAGAAATGAACACGACTCCAAACCGACAAACGCCCGGGAACAAAAACGTTAAACGGTCAGCTCAGAAAACACGATTATGTCGTTTGCCTACAGACTTGCCATTCTTTTACACACCAAAAGCTGACAAGTCTCTCCCATGTACCAGAGTGGCAGACCAGCATTGTAAACAAACTAAATCCCAAGATAGGATCAAACGTTTCCCGAAGAATTCCGCAAACTGTACCGGTATGGAGGAAATTTTCTACAACGAAAAGGCAAGTGACAATAGAAAACTGAGAAAGGCCTGCAGTAATACACTGCCCCATCCACGCATTCTTGTAAACGACAGCACAAACTATTTCTTTGGGGCGACTCCAAATAATAACCAAAGTGAAGGAGAGACACTTTTTTACCAAGGTGATTCTCCAAAGTTGACTCCTCTACGACGCTTTGCATCGGTTGACAGCTTCTTAGATTCCAAAGATTGCGAAGAGCCTCGGACGAATGGGTCTTGTTGCTATGGAAACGAGTTGTCAGTTGATGACGCAGCCAGGAGGAAGATGTGCAGAGGTAAGTCTTTTTTGTAAAGCCATTTGATTGTTGTTGTCGTTGTTTCAAATTCTTCCGCTGCATCTAGGATACGGTTTTCCCCTGGCTACGTTCTACAAAACTTATGTATGACGCAAAGCCCGAAAATAAGCCAAGGGTGGCCAGGACTGGATTTACAATATTGTTTTCGCGCTACCGTTTGGTAAACCTAGTGAAAACCACCTTTAAGAGTTTTTGAATCGCTACGAACTAATCAGGCAATTGCACGCCAGCTTGTCATAAAAGAGATGTCGTACTTCAATTTCCTTATTATTCTTTATTTAGATAATTGTGGGACATAGGTTCCTGGGGCCCGTTTTTCGAAGGTCCCGAAAAGTTTTCGCACCCGGAAAGTCGTAGCAAACTCTCAAACCTTATGATTACAGAGCCGCTTTATTCACGTATTGTTAACATGAACAGAGGTTCCCTTCATATAAGAAGTTTCAGACGCATACTCCTCTCCGTTTTTAGATACAGATGAACTAAAAATGGCTTTACGGGCCGGGCCCCTGGTAGCGCGACTGAAGTATTCATTTAGGTCACGTGCTTATCTATATTTTATTTCTTCTGTTTGTAGGTCAGTCACCATGCCCCTCGCCTCCGTCAAACCTATGGGAAATGGAATTTACAATCTAGAATTATAAAACAACTAAACGTAGTATTGCGATATTTTAATGTTTATCCTTGCATATGTTATCATGTTTATATCTATGTTTATAAATTTATGAAGTCGGATAATTTGAGCGACAGACGAATTATCTCTTATCTCCCGGCAATTTTAATCACGTGATTCAGCAGGTGGCAATTTCACTTATCAAAACACCTCTTGCAATTCATCATTGCATTGGTGTGCACGTAATACCGAATCTTCACTTGAGGATTGGCTAACTTTACTCAAGAGTTGCCCTTAAGAGACTTGTTCACTTCTGGATTGCCTCATGAAGCTTCTTCACAGCGGTCTTTTAAATGTCGTATTACTCAATTTGAGTAGAAAATATGGATTGCAACAAGCTGCGTGTTCCGAGTAGGTGACATCTTCCGTATAATACGTTTGCTAGTCTTCCTGTGTTATAAACTGTACAGTTGTATAAATATCTTTCATGGAGCTTGCGGAATCTCCCGGATCGATACGTTTTTGTTGTTATCAGTTAGTTTGTGTTTTGTTTTGCAGTTCAGTCCGCCACAAGGTGAATTACCTGGTCTTCTCATAACCGCAAAAATACTGATTTAAACGACATGCAAAAGCACTATTTCTCTTCCTTATACAATAGCAGAGTCAATTGGATTATTTTAGTTATTTGCAGTTCCTTCTTCGTCCAAGGAAATATCTTCTTATCCAAGCTTTATTGTGGATTTCGTAATTGACTTTTAATCATTAAATTTATAAACGTTTCAGTTACATTAAAAGCTTGGTAAACGTGGAACTGAACGACCATGTCTTAAGAACGCAAAAAGTCTTAGAATTTTCCATTCCTCTTGCCACACACCACTGGTGGCAGTGCCTCATTATTTGAGACGATTCGGCAATATTATATTCACTTTGAAGTCTGCAGCTCGTTGAAAATTAAAGTTGCTGAGTGAAAATTTTTTGGAATCAATAAAATATTGCACTACTACTAAAGAAACATCGTTTTAAACTAACAAGGTTTGAAAGCGAGCAAATAATGAGTAAATATTTCACTTTCTCGGAAGAAGTCCCGGTGATCCTTTCGGCTTTTTCTAAAGTAAACGACTTGACAACCTAACCAAATTGCCATAATCACAAATATTCCTCAGTGTTTTGCATTTGTTAAAATTCTAAATCAAATAATCAGCGTCAGGTGAAAGGACAAAGAGATCATAATTTGTAATCAGCTAGTATTCATATCTTCCTTGATAATTCAGAAATGCAGGTAAATTTATACGAATTGTTTGATCTCAGATGCAGAAGATAATTCTGCATTGTCCAGTCGCTTTGCGGGGACTGAAGGGGGTTGCCTCCTAGGGAGTCCTAAAACATATTCCCATGGAAACTGTTAAATTCTGGATTCTAAAACGACCGATTTTCTGACATGAAAAAGATGCCGATCAAGACAAGTGTGACATTACGACATCCCACAATATCTGGGCTAAAATAACAAAAATCTGGCTGTTTTCCGTAAACACGTGGAAACTGAACAGCCTTACATATTCCAGTCGCAGAAGTGAAGGTTATTTCTAGGTCATCATTTACAGATTATATGTTGCGTTAGGCGCCAAAACAAAATTTTCACGGCATTATTATTATTGTAGAATTAATTCTCTTTGAGTTCTGAATAAGTAAGCAGTTGATAATTGCGAGCCTGCAATGTGTGTATCTACTAGTATGTAACAACTTCCTCTTGGTGAATACTTCCCGTTCATAGAAGGGAAGTTTTTCTGATAATTAACAACCAAGGGTGGAATAATTGATTTATTAAAAACGCCCCTAAAACATAAAAACTAGACTAAAAAAAAGAAAAACACTAGACTAAAATAAAAACGCCTCGAAAACGTTATTCGCGCGTTCACCATATTTGTAGAGCATGGTATAACGGCTCATATACCATGATGGGTAAGCCAATGAAAACTCTTGAATTGCAGTTTTAATAATGGTTGATATTTCATGGGAAAACTGATTATTTCCATGCACCTCAGAGCGATTGACGATGGTTCCACTTTTATAAATGACATCATTTTTAGACAAAACAGCCCGAAATATTTTATAATTAATGTTTCGGCTCAACCCTAGTAACTATAACCTAACAAAACAATTACGATGGCTAGATGGAACTATTCCGTGTTGCGTTCTTCGTGCCTTTATTAAAAGTATCAATAATTAAATGATTAACAACTTCTTTACCGTTTGTTTTTCAGAAATCCAGTCACAAACAGCGCCACAAGATGGAAAGCACATGGCGTTGGCCTCAGTCAATTCAGAGATGGATCCTAAACGCGCTGCAGCAATGTTAGAACGACGCCGAGTTTCTGCCTCAGTCCACGAAATACAGGATTTATACAGCGCCCTTCAAGAACTTGTCCCAGGAGGTGCGACATCTTCACTCTCCCAGCGGGTGAATTCCACAGACAATAAACCCACTGACGTATCTTCTAACCCCAATTCTCCAAACCTGCGACGAAAAGTCCTCAACAATCGTCCGAGAGATGTGGCGCGTTCACCAACCAGCGAAGACGAGTCAACCCGGGTGAGAAGGTTGCTTCCGGTAACTCCTGATTCGCCATCAAACCCCCGCAAGTTTAACCCAAAAGTCATCCAAGCTCTTGACGTGAATGCCAATCAAAGCCTCGTAAAAGGCAAACGCAATCCTAATATGGGACGGCGAGGTTCCAGTGGCGAGGTACTGTTGAGTATGCAAAGTGCTCAATCAGGAAAACCGTCTCCTAATATGGGAAGGCGGGGATCCAGTGGAGCGGTTCTTCTTGCCGTGCGAGCCAATCAGCACAAAGCACCCAAAAGTCCCCTTGCACTGACGAGAAGTGCTTCGCATCATAACATCGCTGGAGACTATGAAACTGATTCAGCTAGTCCAGTTTTACCAAGTCCTGTCAAACTAGACAGACTTATTAGTCCTGAGGTGCTTGCAAGGCGAGGATCTGAAGGAGTCCTTTTGACGCCAAAAATGGACAAACACCATAAAAAGCTAAGTCCTCTTCTGATGAAGAGAAGGGGATCAAGCGGCGATATTCTTACGTCAGAAAGCAGTAAACCAACTTCAGTCTCCTTACCCCGCAGTGCTGCGTCGTCACCAAGAAAAACTGCCACGTTGGACAGTGGAATTGACTCCTCACCACGACGAGGCTCACTGATAAATGCACTGACTAAATTTTCGCACACTTTCAAAAAGAAAACCCCGCCGTCGAGCCCAGAACGCAAAGAAATAGCATCGATCAAAGGAGACTTTCACGGGGAAAACCAGACAGTGGTTGATGGACAAGTGCAGAATCAGATGGATATGCTGTTAAATTCTCTAAACGATCTCCAGGGTACGTCTCAAGAAACAAACCACGGAAATGCAAATGAATCAGAAATCTTGAAGAAACTCGATCAGCGTCGCGGAAGCCTGGGGACGGAAATGCAGGAACTGCTTGGAGCGTTGCAAGAGCTCTCCGCCATGACAACAAGTTCTGATTCAGATTCCCTCGGTGATAACGAATCGCAGTCGAGACGTGGGTCTGAGTTACAAGATCGAGTGCATGTTCAGCGTGAATCATTAGAACAACTGGAGGCGTACTTTACTGAAAAGTTACGAGATGCCACAATAGCCAGCACCTCGAAAACGCCTTCAGAGCGATCCTCTGAAAGTGATGCACCTCTGTCGGACAAAGAAGATGGCGAATTAAGCCAACCACCTTCAGAGTTGTCTAGCAAAAAGAGTTCCTTGGAAACAGCAATGGTCGACGAAGGGATCGATGTTGTGGATTATCCTACCGAAGTTCTGCCGACGGATGTCGAAGTGAAACGAACACAGTTGAAGGAGGATCGTGAAGAGTTTGCCAACCAAGTCAACAAAAAACTGCAAGATTGGCTCGAGAAGGCAATGGCGCTATCAGAAAGAGAAAAAAACTCTGCAACTTTTGATAGTGATGAAGCAAAGTATGATTACCTTGATTCTGACGAAAGTGACTATAACAAAGAGAAAGAACCAAAACGTATGAAAAGAAATCTCTTTTCTAAGTTGTCACTTCTACGCCGTGGCGATAGGTCGCGTCCGAAATACAAGCACCGAAGAACAAAGTCCATGCATGACGTCACCTTCTCCCTTGAGAACGAGCTTTCCTTTCAAGACAAAGAAATTCAAAATCCGACGACGACGAATGCGCAGAATGAAGACAAATTAAGGCGTCCAAGCGTGACGCGCTCGAGATCCATGTATAATGTAACGCTTCCAAGAAGCAAAAATCACAGCAAACGCCAGGTGAGGGAGGCAGAAGATGTACCTCAAGCTTCGCACACTGTACAAACACAGTCAGCCGCCACTTTGCCTGATGACAAAAGAATTCAAGCTTCACATGTACTAACAACCTCTAGTAAAGACTACTGTCATGTGACCGAGAAATCTTCACCGACGTTGCTGAACCCAGAAATGAACACGACTCCAAACCGACAAACGCCCGGGAACAAAAACGTTAAACGGTCAGCTCAGAAAACACGATTATGTCGTTTGCCTACAGACTTGCCATTCTTTTACACACCAAAAGCTGACAAGTCTCTCCCATGTACCAGAGTGGCAGACCAGCATTGTAAACAAACTAAATCCCAAGATAGGATCAAACGTTTCCCGAAGAATTCCGCAAACTGTACCGGTATGGAGGAAATTTTCTACAACGAAAAGGCAAGTGACAATAGAAAACTGAGAAAGGCCTGCAGTAATACACTGCCCCATCCACGCATTCTTGTAAACGACAGCACAAACTATTTCTTTGGGGCGACTCCAAATAATAACCAAAGTGAAGGAGAGACACTTTTTTACCAAGGTGATTCTCCAAAGTTGACTCCTCTACGACGCTTTGCATCGGTTGACAGCTTCTTAGATTCCAAAGATTGCGAAGAGCCTCGGACGAATGGGTCTTGTTGCTATGGAAACGAGTTGTCAGTTGATGACGCAGCCAGGAGGAAGATGTGCAGAGGTAAGTCTTTTTTGTAAAGCCATTTGATTGTTGTTGTCGTTGTTTCAAATTCTTCCGCTGCATCTAGGATACGGTTTTCCCCTGGCTACGTTCTACAAAACTTATGTA